TGTTGTGTGTTGTATATTGTGATGTTAAGTTGTAGAGTTGTTGAAGATGTGATGATGCTGTGATGACAGTATAATGTTTCTATATATATATATATATATATATATATGTGTGTGTGTGTGTGAGATTTTCATGCATTCTCACACGCCCCAAAAAAGAAGAAAAAAAGGAAACTGAAATCCTTATCCTCAACTGCCAAACTGAACCCACAATAATTTGCAGAAAATTTTCTGCATCTGCAGTTTATGTCATGCTACAAAACTCGGCATTTTAATTTAATTTTTGTGAGTAGACATCTCTTAAAAATCATGTCAAATTTCCCACAAATTAAGACCTGTTTACATAAAGGGTTTTAAGTGAAACAAATACACAATAAAAGAACACGCATGAAGCATCTTGTCTCCAATCTCATTTTTATTGAGATTTTTTTTTCATAATGTCAATCATTCAAAAACCTTGACTTTTAAAAGTTATTAAAAAGGTAAACAAACTTAACATAATAATAATAATAATAATGATAATAGTAATAATAATAATAATCAAATGACAGCATTGAATCTTTTTCATTAGCATTGGATTTAAATTATACTTCTATTTAACCATTTTGTACTTTAGAAATATCATTTTCACTAACAACTTAATTAAATAGACCTTAAAACAACCACCGAACATGTACTCCAGTAAAAAGTAAATTTGAGGAAAGCTAATAACACATTGTTTGACCATGCTCCTCAACATATTAAAGATTGGGTCACTAATTAAAGAATGAAACTGACTAATGAGGATAAAAATCAGATTATTTATACACAAACTCAAACTTCAGCAATCATTAATGTGTATTGAAAAGAGTGTTTCAAAAAAATATTATTAGTATTTCTTACTTTAAAAAAAATCAGTGAAAATGACATATTTAAGAAAACGTGATTTTAGATCAGTCGAAAGAGACAACGTACTGTAAATGTAAAAAACATGAAACAGAACTAGAGAACGCAAAGAGTAGTACCACTTTAATTTTATTTATTTATGGATTGGGGGAGGGGGGGAGGTTTTACTGAAATGAACCTGACTTACGACTACGAGCCCCATGTCACAATGCAGAAGTATATGCAAATCAGATGCCATACTTACCGCCACGGCATGCACATGCAGAAATGCTAAAATAGGAGAAACTCATGCATGGGGGATGAGAAAAGCGCTATTCTAGGGAATATGAATGCCATTTCCTTTTATTCTCGCTCAAAATGAAAGCAACAAAAAAGAGGGAGGAAATTAAAACCTGATGTAAAAAGCAATGAAAGATATAGAAATTGTCTCAATGTGTACTTTCAGGAGAATGATGTATCCGGCTTAAAATTAGTGACTCAGACTCATTTGAACCAGGCATCAAAGCATCACAAGCTTTGGGAGACCCATCCTCAACAATTAAGGGATTAATCTTTGTGTCACCCAAACCCAGTTTTTCATCTGCACAATGGGCAAAACCAGTAGTTTTGGCTTTGCTATCTATGTTATCACCCTCTCCGTGCAAAGTGGGGGCCAACTGAGCTTCATTTTTAGCTGCTAAGGAGTAATCCTCCTCTGCATCGCCTGAATTCACCTTATCAGAAGTGATTTTGGGCTCTTTCTCTTGCAAATCTGCTACAGCTGCTGCTTGGTTCACACGACCAGAAGATGGACTAGACATGCCTGTTTTATCATAATCTTGCTCCATTTGGCTGTAGGTTTGATCGATCTCTTCCAATTGCTCCTTTGCAGGGGATGTAGTTTCTACTTTGTCCGATTCTAATGTAGGCATTGGCACGTCTTTTGTCCCATCAGAAGCTGTGACAGAAACGTGACCATTCTCCAAACTAGGAATAGGAACCGACTCATCCACTTGCTTCTGGTTGGACACTGCAATCTTATCTACCTCCGCCTTATTAGGCAGGTTCACCCTATGCTTCTTGTAAAGGTCTATGGCTCTCTGCAAATTGGAGAAAATATTCAATCGTCAAGATTCCAAAATTCAGTATTTAAGCATTCATAAAACTTAACCAAAAAGGACAAGTTTAAGAAGTTAAAATTCCACACAATGCAAAATCTCACTACCAACAAACATAATCACAGCACTTGAGGGTTAGAGAAGAATATTTTTTAAATTCTGAAGATGGGCAATATTAACCAACAGGATTCCTGTAACCATTAATACAATTGATCAAGTAGTTTTACCTGGAAGATAGAATTATCAATTTCTGGAAATGGTGAACGCCTTGATAAGGTGGCAGCATATTTCTGTCGTGTTCTTGAGCCATTCTGTCAAAATACAGCACAGGAAAAACTGATGATGTCAGAGGATCATTTGCTGCTTTTATTTAATAGAGTAAAAAATACAATTTCAATTTAAATAAATACTCCATATCACTTCAACTAAAATCACTTCTCTAGAGCTTCAGTAAAGGTTAGAAGTTGCTCTTAATCACTTTTAAGTAATAGCAAGCATCCAAAAAAACAAAAACTAGTAGAAAATCAATTATAGTTAAAGCTCTACAAGTTTTGGGAGCAAAAATTTAAGCAAAAAAGTTTTCTAGGATACCTTCAAAAGTAGTTCTGTTGTAGCAACTGCATCAACTGGAGCATTCTTGTCAACATTCAGAGTACTCATACACTGGTCATACAACTCTGGCAGTACTAAGTCTACTGAAATGTCAAGTTTGGAAAGGTAGAAGCGGCTGAAAAGGGAAGTATTGTCACTTGGCGTCGAAGTATCAGGCACCTTTTCAAGAACAGTTGGGGATGAAGAGTTCAAAGATGCATCTGCTGGAGAACTGAGACTAAACGACTTCCTTTCAGGAGATTTCTCAATAAGATCATCCCGGTTATGTTCATCCTGAGACATCTGAGTTGTCTGATCAGTCAAACCATTATCAATGAGGGTGGGAACTGATTCCTCTTTGCAGACTGGGGAAGGCAATTCTTTCTTTGAATCACTACTCTGCTCTTTCCAAGTTTCTGAACCAGACTCCCATCCATGACTATTTGTTGAATGCCTGTTCCTGTCCCAATCAGAACCACCATACATGTGAGGATCATCTCTGTAGACATTATTATTGTTATCCCATCCATGCAAATGAGCAGTTCCTGTACCATCCATCAAATTTGGCCACCCAAGTGGCCGCAAGTGACCTGGAAATCTATCAGCATCACCGATATGGTATGGAATGCCAGCATGATTAACTTCCATAGGAGGCCTGACACCAAAGAGAGGTTGAGATGTAAACTGTGGTACCATTGTTTGAAAACCTCCATGAGCTGGCCCAGGTGGGAAGGGAACAAATCCATTTGGTACCGGTGAATTCCAGTTTGGAACTGCCCTCCAGGAATTGCCACCATGCCCCCTTCCAAAGCCAGGTTCACTACTTCTTCTGTATCGTGAATTAGAGTTATCTCTAACATCGTCCTCTAAAGAACCCATATAAGGTCTATCTAAGGTAGCCCTGAAACCAGGTGGGGGAGGAATCAATGATGAATTGCTCTGATTATTCCTACCATATAAAGATGAATCTGCTTGAGAGGGCTCATCCAATTGCGATTTCTCTGACTCCCGGCCAAGTCTATCTTCAGAAGTGGAGAAATCTCTTACATCAGTACTGTTCCTCCTTCCACTTTCGTCAATTTCAAGATTCCGCTTAACACCACCTCTATTCACATACCTGCGCTCAATGTTTGTTGAAGAAGGAGATCTTTCCATCAGGCCCACAGGTGAAGCCTTGGCACTATTAGACCTTTCTGTTGACAAGTCTCCTGCAGGACATTCATCTACTTTAATGGGTTTTTCCATTAATTTGTATTTAGAACTCCTATCTGATGTTCCAGAGTAACCCTCTCTAGGGCCTTTCGTTCTCTGTTCTACTGCTGGGTCTCTGTACTTCGATTCTTCAGCTTTGGCATTTCTGAAAGATGGGGAAATGGCAACCAGTTATTATTGATCATGGCACAATTACCACAAAAGCAAAAGTAGAAGTTAACCTAACCATAAAATTTTTAAACCATCCAAGCAAAACTTTTTAAATGTCATCAATAAACAAAGTTTAATTACTTCCCCTGTTAGCGAAGGGGAACTTTCCTCATTGGGCTCGAAAAACCTCTCTTATTTATAAAGTGTCAAACTTAAACCAAGTTATTAATGACATAAGATGCCTTAAAGGTGATCTTTAAGAACAATGCCAGTAATCATAAATGAGTAGAATAAATTAATCATTATAACTTTCTCCAACCAAATTACACATGACAATTGTTTTATCAGCAACTGTAGTATAGCAGCAATACCCTGAAAAACTAATGAAACAAAAAATGCAGAAAACTACTTCCCTAGTATCCTCCTGAAAATTATAACATGAGGAAAAAGAGAAAATCACATTAAAGACAACCACAAAATGAAATCATAATGGTTCAACCAAACTTTTAATAAAATTATAGTACCTATAGTCATCTTTGCTGATGTGTGTACTTGAGGCAGGAGAAGATCTGTGTTTATTGCTAGTCCCAGTTGAATCTGCATGAGCTTGTCGGGGTTGAGATCTTCCTCTGTCAACATCGGAATCAGCTTTGCTGGTACTCAAACTCCTCTTCTCTGCATCAGGATAGTAGCTCTTAACAGCTCTAGATTTAGAATCATTATAATCATCACGATCATCCAAAGTTCTTTTCTTTGTTCCACTCTCTTTGCCTCTAGCACTTCTATCATCCACATGTGACCCATCACGATCACGGCGACGGTCACGATCTCTCTCTCGGTCACGGTCGCGATCATGATCACGATCCCAGTCCCAGTCTCTATCTCTGTCATAATCATGATCCCTGTCAAGATCATAATCACGATCACGTTCACTATGGCGCTCACGATCACGAACAGATTCCAAATCACGATCCCCATCGCGATCGCGATTATGGTCCCTGTCACTCTCTGGAAGCTTGGTTCTCTTTTGCCGTGATTCTAGGCTATTCTTTTCTTCCCTAGCATGTTTATCATCAGACCTAATGGTAGCATGATCTTTGGCAGGGCGCTCATCACGTTGCTTTTCATGTCGATGTTTGTTCTCCCTGTCTAATTCTTCCCTATATTTGTCTCTATATTTCTCCTCTTTTCGCCTATCATCCTTCCTTTTTCCATCCTTGGCAATGTCATCCCTAGAAGACAAATGTCTATCATAACCATCACCAACATTATCTTGATGCTTATCACCATCACTATAGTCATCCCTCTTCTTCCTCATTCGCCTCTCAAGCTGGTTGTCAGGTTCAGGACTTCGCAACTCATCAACTTTCTTTGTGTCTGCAAAAAGCACAATCAAATAGATCAAAATCAGCCACTGTCTTCAGAAGAAATCTGAGTACATCATATGAATGTATACAACAGTCCAGAAGAAATGAGTTGCTTCATATATGGAAGGTGTTACAAAGAAAGAACATAAAAAATAAGGACTAAACATTACTCATCCAAAGGCCGAACTACATTCATGGAAATGGTGATCTTGAGACATTTCAAGTCATGTTAAAGATCAGCACACAAACCATTATTTAATTTTTGAAATAATTCACAACCAGAACCCTAGAGGCAGGGTTAGAAACTTGTTCAGCATTATTTTAGCATCCCATAGTCAAACATAATCAATGCTAAAAAGTTCAATTATACATTTAATCATAAAATCTGATTGAACAATATTGGCAGATTTATCTCACCATGATATTCAGTTTAGCTGGTACAAGACGAGGAGATGAATTTGGTTAAACTCTTAAATATAGAATAGAAACAATATTTACTGACCAAATTTTCAAATGACACACATTATGCAGGACAAAACAATTTCACTAAACATATCATGTCAAAACCTAATACGAAAGTAACTAGAACGATGGATTGCTGGGAAAAACCAGCTAGGTCCCAATTTAGAAGCACATGATATGATGTATCTATGTTGCTTTCCATAAGGATCAAAAGAAATTGAAAACATCCTCAGAATTTCACACTCAAAATGTTGTAAAGAGAATATCCAGTGTCAAAATTGATGCCTTGCATAAAAGGTAATTACAAGTCTAATTTATGCCACATTGATAGAAGGTAAATGTGATTCGAAGAATTCAGGGAGGACAGGAGAACTCCTGAGCAGAAACACCAGAATATCATACAGAAAAAGTAAGCAACTTCACTCATGAAATAAAGATTTGCAGATTCGCTGCATGTCTGATAGGGAAACCACCTATAAGAAACTAGGATGGAGAGCCTAATAGAAACCATATCAATCTTATCCCATTTACAGGCCTAAGATAATGCACGGTTCTTAACTGAGCATTTGGCTTCAACCAGATACTCCAAAGATAAACACATAAATGCCCACTGCCAAAAAGTATCCCCCCACCCCAAGCACAAGCTAAGTAGGGATGATTTACTCTTACGAAATGCAATGAAAAAGTAAGGTAGCAAAAGGATATATATAGATTCAAACATGCACATACAAAAAGCATATTTAAACACACAATCAATCATTATTACCCATACTCAATCCAAACAGCTTATTGTCAGCACATAGGAAAAATAGCAACTCCTTAGTTGCAAAGCAAAATTACTTTTCCTAATATACTTAGGATCCAACCAACACAACATAGCTTCAAATCCAACAAAATATGAGATAAAACCAAATCAGCAACAGAATAATGCAGATTATAGTACATGGATCACTCTGATAATGAATAGTTGCAATGGGGTTAAAGAACCTTGTTGTGTAGCATCCTCTTTGTCATTGTTGCCACTAATATTCTTACAAATATTTTCAACATACAAAAAAAAAACCTATACGCAATCATATTAATTTATTCTATGATCAGTATTCAGACCTAAGTCACATAACCCAAGCAAAGGAATTTTGATATTTTGAAAATAACCACATTTGATTTATAATATAGGAAAAAAAGTATTTCAGTTACCTTAAAGTTTACCAAAAACAAATGAATCTATCCCCTTGAAGCACACCACCCTTAAATTTCCCATTCAATATTTTTTAACTGCCCTTAAATGCCTTCCCAATAAAGTAGAAAATAATCCATGCTATTAATGCAAGCTTGGCATACATGAATTATAGTTCAAGCAAGGAGTTTACTGTAAATATGGCAAAATATATAGATTATTTCCTTTTATTCTCTAGCAAAAGAGGAGTATGTTATGAGGGAAATAGGCACAAAGCATTTACAATCATATAAATTTTGTTGACCCAACACAAATCATAGTGAATCCCTTCACAGTAAAATGTCCCACTCTCTTTTCTTTCATAAAAGGACTACTGTTATTGAGAGTAGGAGAACATCCAAACTCTACATATATCCCTTTAACATTGTTTTGGTATATAATTTGAACTTCTCATCCAGATCGTATTATTTTGGTATATAACTTATGATTACAATGACATAATCTAATCTAATTATAACTAACAAACAACTTGGCAGACAGAATCCATTTCTTCTACATCCAACCAACGAGTTGAAACTTAACATAATGTATTTATCATTTCATTTTACATATATAATGCAGGAAGCTACCCACAGTGTCCAACTGATATGGTTTATACTGATCTCAAAGGAGAAGGAAAAATCTAACAGCTTTTTTAATCTGCCCAACACAGAATAATACTTTTTCTAATTGAAAGATTTAAAAGTGTCAAACATGTCAATTACTTTTTAACTACATATTATTAACATCCATTTAAATCAGTTTAGGCCAACACATAAGGTGAATTTAACATTATACAGACAATGCATATATGCATTTACCAAAGCAACTCAACTAATATTCAAAGTCAAATACTTCAATTTTCTTTCCCTATGATGTCATATTGATATATCATAACTCTGTTACTCTGGTCATCGTCTCACAGCCCTCCACAATAGAAAGGGTGGAGGAAGAAAAGCATTGACAGAAACCCAAGAGTCTGATGCCATTAGGCCTACATTTCCAAAAGAATGTCACAACAGTTGGAATGACTTGTACATGAATACTGACATTGAATAAACAGAAACAACAAACAGAATGGAAAGAACAGAGACATTAGAGATTATATCAGTTAAAGGGTTTGCCTGTCTGTTCTAACAAATGAAAGCAATGGAATTGTGGACATGTGTATGAGGAAAAAAAAAAATGGAAATTGGTATTTAACATCAAAATTACCATTCATCAACCGCTAGTCAAATTGATCACAGACAATTCCAGAACTGCTTACAATGTAGAGAGACAACACACAGACACATCCAGTACGTATCAAATGCCTTGTCCTCATCGTTCCTAAACTAAGAGGAGGCTTAATACTCAAAGCTTATTATCCTTGTTGTTTTGATCCATATAAAACACACAAAGCTAATCCTTCTTAACACGCAGGCAAAACATGATTCAGTTCAAAACAAGCTATGGCACTATAAATGCAACAACACGAACAGAATAAACAAGCAATAAATCAACCAGTCCAAGTTACCTTACCATTAGTTTCAAACACCTGCTTAGACACACGCTGTTCTTGCTCATCCACCGATTCCTCACTCCTACCACCTTCCTTGAATTTCCTCTCCTTCTCCGCCCCACCCTCTCTGCTTCGCCCGGAAGCCGAATCCCTATGCTTCCCATCCCCTTTCCCGCTACTCCTCTTCACCTCCTCGCCCTCGCCGTACACTCCCACGCTCCCATCCCTCCTCCTGCTGCTCTTCGAATCCCCCGCCGCCTTGGACTTCTTCGACCCCTCCTCGCCGCCATTCCACCTATCTCCTCCGCCGCCGCCGTCCTTGCGCCGCTTCGACGACGACGCGTACTCGTCGGAATACTCCCCGTTCCCGTGCGCGTCCTTCGATTCCAGCCTCCGCTTCTCGGCGGAACTCGAATCCCTGGACGCCTTGGCGCCGCCGCCGCTCTCCTCCTTGGTCCTCCGATCCTTGACGCCGGAGTCTCGCTCCGAGTCGGAGTGGTCCCTCGCGTCGCGGGAACTGTGCTTGCTGGATTTGTGCTTGGAACTGCGCGGCATCGCGAAACCCTATCCGGAGAATTCGAATCGAGCGAGGCGCGCCGAATCGGGAGTGAAACCCTAATTCGGAAACAATCGAGTGAGGGAACGGAACCCTAGCAGAGAGCCTCCACCGGATCGCTGAGATCGAATGCGAGCAAAATTACCTGAAGGTCCAATAGGTATACTCTGGTGCGTTAGGGTTAAATGTGGAAGAGCATGTAAAATCTGAGTTGAACAGTAGAAGAAAAGCGCAACGACATCGAATGACTCTCTCTCTCTCTCTCTCTTTTTCTCTCTCTCTCTCTCTCGGGGTGTGTATTTTTGATTTTTGCTTTATCAGCGCTAATGAGAGTTGGAGGAGAGGGTCTTACTTGGGTTGGGAAATGAGAACTGGGGATAATGGGAAAATAGGGTGAGATTACGGAACTGCCCTTGCTTCTTTCGCCTTATGCCGGTGGTGCCCCTGTGCGGCGCGGGTTTCGTGTTTCGTTCAGTGCTGTGAATTAGGTTACGCTGTGCGTGCGTTCTCCAATAGGAAATAGACACAGCGTTTGGTGGTGGTGCTTGGACAACATGCCCCGTCCTCTGGGTGTCTAGATAAAATCTTTTTCCCTTTTCAGTACCAAATAGAAGAACACGTTACCAACGCATTCCTCTTCATGTATGATTGATGTCAGTCTTTATCAATTAGAATTAAAATTTTATTTCAATGATATACATAAATAAATATTAATAACATCTATATTAAATATAAATATATAATATTAAAGTAAATTTTTAATTCTAATTAGAAAATAATATCCTTCTCCCAACAAATACAAACATGCTAAACAAATTATTATAGGATAAAATAATTTAATAATTATTTGTGGCTATTTACACGATAAATTTTGTGCTTTGAATATAACATTTATCAAACCTGGTAAAGATAAACTTATTGATTGGAGACCATTAAATCACAATCAATACTTTTTTGTTTGTTTAATTCCTCCCAATTACAACGATAAAGATCATTTTTCTTAACAAATTATTCACAAAGTTTACCTGCAAGATACTAACATACTTTCAATATTTATAGGCGAGTACAAATGCTTATTTTCTTATATATATGTTTTTTTAAATATATTTTTATTTTTTAAATTTAAAATAAATTTATTTTTAGTCTCTTAAATTTAATATTGATTTTTTAAAATTTTTTGTGATCTCAAAAATCTTATTTTAGCCCTTGAACTCAAATTTTGTTAAGGAGTCTGTGAAATATTGTTGTATAAAATCAACTTATTAGTATTTTTGTTAGAAAAAAATATATCACATTAAACTCAATTGAAACTATATAATTGTCTCAATGTGTCACTTTCAAATATGTTATTTGTGATCTAAGGAATTAAAATAAGATTTTTTTAAATTATAGGGACTAAAAATAATAATTTTAAATTTAAGAGATCAAAAATAAATTTATCCTAAATTTAAGGGATTAAAAACATTTTTTATATTCATTTGTTTTTATATTGTGATATTATAGTTCAATTTAAGTTTTTTTTTGTTTTTAGGAATTATTATAATTTTTGTTAAATTATGAGATTTTCCTTACATTAAAATCTGAATTTTTTTCTTTTTGTTATTCAAAATACTCAAACCCAAAAATTTACACAAAAGAATTGAGTCCAATTTTTTTCTTATCAACAATTTGTTAGTGGGTTATATGGTATTTGAGTCACTTGACCACATTAATCAAAGTTAAAGTTATACAGTGTATATGTAAACATGTTTAGCTCAACTTCAACTAAAGTATTTTTAATTTGGTTTTTTATCAAAATATTTTATAATTGGCCTTGACTAAAGTATGTTAAAATTAGTCTTGCCTAATGTTTCGTCAATTAAACCTTATAATGTGCATGATTTTATGTGTGTGTGTGTGACTACATAAAAAATGAGTTGAAAATTCATATTTAAGGGTCATAAGCTAACTTTAACACAAGGTTAAGAGTTTTTTTTATGTGCCCATTTAGCTTTTCTTGTCTTAACCTGCGTGGATTTATGCCAAGTGGATCAGACAAACCCATTTTGATAATTTTTATTCAAAGGATTTCTTGCACCTATGATACAATTGATAGAGACCGTATTGTCCATAGATTTTGTTAACATTAGAACTTCAACACTTGCTTTGAATAACTAAGTAGTAAGTAAATTCTTTAGTTGCAACATGTGCATAAAAAGGGCCTTAAGAAGATAAATCCTTTGATTCATTGAAGAAAACCCTAAACTTTATTAAAAAAATTATTATATTCATACTTTTACAAATTATATAAAAAATTATACTATTAATAGTAGATTGTAATGTTTAAAAAATGGATCAAACTAACCAATTAGACCAAAAACTAATGGTATAGCCAATCTAAGTCTCTTTTTTTATTGGATATGTCATCAACTTGGTGTGAACTTATTGAGTTTTCAAACAAAATAGTGAATTGATATGTTACAACCTGATCCAATTTATGCTAAAAAGATTAGTGAGCATATATGTCAACATCTTTTTTTTAATATATGTATGCAAATACAATTTGTATATTGTATCTTCAATATCAAATTATATGTTAAATAATCACCAAGTCATGTGATTTAAACAGTAACTCATTAACTTCGTACCTTAATGAAATTAATTATTAATTCATTTTTAAAAACATTGATATATTGTATTAAATAATTTATCATGTAATATAAATAAAATAATTTCCAATCAGGTCATATACATTGTATTAAACATGATATTTAAAATAAAATCATATATTCAATAATTATCATATGATTCAATAGTAACCCACTGGTTCAATATATACCTTAACCAAATCAATATTGATTCATTATTTTAAAAATTTGATATATTGAATTAACAATTTATAACATATTATAATAAAATATTATATTAAACATTTAGTCAAAGTGACATTTAATAGCGTGTCAACTAGAATTATAACGTCACGAGGACAAAATTGAAGCAATCATAGAATCATCATCATAATTTTGGGTTGTGACTAAGGCAAGGCCAATAGACGCCAATCGATTTTTATAACACACACACACACACATATATATATGTGTGTGTGTGTGTGTGATTAATGACTATATTTAATTATATTATTTATAATTAGTTTGTTAAAATATAAGATTATATAATTATTTAAAAATGTCTCTATACATAAATATTATTGTAAAATTATTAGTTTGGAAAAAAAATTTACAATTAAAAACTTATACTATATTTGTTTGAATTGAATAAAAAATGTTATTGAAATAATCATAAAAGTTAAATTTCATAAAATATTAAAACCTATATATAAAAAATATTAAAAAAAATGATAGTGAATATAACAAAAATGATAATGATAATGATAAGAATGTCTTGTTAAAGAGTAATTCTCTTAATTTATATAAAAAAATAATTTTCTAGTTTTGATTTTTTTATAAATGTCAAATTGTTATATTTATTTTTACTTTTTAGCAACTTATTTAGAAATATTTTAAAATATGAAATTACTTTGAAATTTTTATTTGAATTTCAATAAATAAGATTTTTAAAAAATAATATTGTATTATTAGAGATTATGACCTTTTTTTTATCACTAAATTGAAATTATTAAAAAAATTATTATTATCAATCAAATTAGTGTTTCATTATAAATATTAAACTATTAAAAAAATATTTTTAAATGCATGAAATATATGTTAATTTATAAAATATTATAAATAATATTTGTAATTACTTTTCAAAATTAATTTTTTTAGATTAATTTGAAACTATGTTGCAAAATGGTTATTGAATGAAATATCCTAATGGAGATTGTAACATCCTATGATTTTTTTATTTTTTAATAATTATTAATTCGGGGGAATGAGAATAGTTTTATTTTATATTGTGATTAATGGTTATTATTTTATATATTTTAATAGATTTAATTATTAAGAGGAGAATCATATATTATTAAGAGAATATAGGGATTTTAGAGAAATAAGGTATTATTATATTATATATTAGAAGAGAAGGGAGAACAACGATTATTATTTATTATTCATCTCATGTTCTATGACGCTCGGGTGCTCTAAAGAGGATGCATCAAGAGAACAAGGAGGAGGAATCATCAGAGAGGAGCCAAAAGCGTAGATCAAATATTTTTGCATTAGGGAGTGAGAACACTCATTCTTGAGATTTGGATATATGCATGAAGGGTAGAGGGATTGGCCCCCAATCCCATAAGTTTTTTGTTTGACGAAATTTGATTTTCGTTTAATGTGGTTTGATGAGTAGAATCAAAGTAGGTAATTTAATTGATGATCAGATGCTTCTAAATAATGAATTGAGTGCTTTGTAAAAGGGAATTAGAACCTAGACAGATTGATCCCCAATTCCATAAGATTTATGTTTGATGATATTTGATGTGCGTTTGATGTGATTTGATGAGTAGATTTGGAATATGTAATTAATTCGATGATCAGATGTTTTAGAGTATATAATTGAGTGCTTTGTAGAAAAAGTTAGAACCCTAGAGGATTGACCCCAATCTCATAAGTTTTCTGTTGGACAAAATTTGATGTGCGTTTGATGTGATTTGGTGTGTAGATTCCAAATATGTAATTTATTTGACGATCAAGTGTTTTTAGATAATTAATTGAGTGTTATATAGGAGAGGGTTAAAACCCTAAGGGGAAGGATTTGATGAATTAAATGGAAATGATTCTTAGATGTTTATTAAAAGATTTATGATGGATGACAAAATTAATTATTATAGAGGAAAAATGAATTTCTAGTTGATATAAATGATTTGAATGATGGATGTATTTTATGCGTTTTGGGGTTTTGAGTGTAGGAAGCGTATTTTCATATGTCAAATGATATTTTATATATGATGTTTCATGATGTTTGTGTTTATGATTGATTTATACGATGATGAATGTGAATATATATATATATATATATGTTGACGAACGATGGATGACATGATGATGAATGACGTACATACTTTGTGATAGATGATTTTTATGTTGATAGATAAACTTGATGTGGATTGATATACATGTTGGTGAATGATGATTTAAACGATGAACATGATGTGATAATATAAAAGCATTTGCATGATGGTGACATGAATCATACTTGCATGTTTGAGGTTCTGGTGGGAACCTGATGTTAAGTCAGACAAAGCAACTCCCGGCTAGGTTTTGAATTTGATAAATATAATACATATTGTTATTATTAACCTGTGTGGTAGTATTTCAGATATGTATAAGAACAGGCAAAACTAAAGCATGAAGCATGGTCGAACAAAACAAGGATCAGACAAATCAAGCCAAATAATAGAAGGATCATGAATTGTGCACCAGACGATAACGAATATCAAACAAAGATATGTCAAGGACAATTCAAAACGCAACATAAGAAATCAAAAACAAGTAAAAAACTAGACCAAGACAAAAGTTGACTCAGCACCAAATAAACATCAGATGAAGCTCAATGGTCAACCACACAAAGTTCAACAAATTAAACATCAGTTGTTGGAAAACACAAGACGGAGAAATATTCCAAATGGAATAAAAAGTCATTCACCTTCAAGACT